AACTGCATCTATATAACATAATAGGAACAACTCACATAGCTAAATAAACATATTTAATTTACTAATTCACTAACAAATAGGAAAGGAAAGAAAAATGTATTGAACTTCAAGATAATTTCAAAAGTCTAAATCCACATTTACTTGCAAGATTGAAAAACCAGTCGTCAATGACATTTACATTACTAGCGTAGTATCTTTGATGAGCACCTGAAATCACCCCCGGTTTTTGGTGGGTTTCGTGTTGCTCAGTCCTTAATTTTCTATGTTGTGTTTTGTGTAATGTTGTTTGTCCTTTTTGTCTTTTCTTTTTTTGCCATAGCGTTGTCAGTATATTTTCGACTTATGAGTTTAGATGTCCCTTTGGTATCTTTCGCCTCCCTTTTAGTCTCATTGGTAATATATTGTTGACTTAAACAAAAGACAAAATATCTGAATATAAACCGTGCTCATAGTTCTTTCCAAATATTCATTTCTGGATTCACCCTCACCAGGAATGAACAAAAAAATGAAGAATTCATTTTCTAATCTACAAATAGAGGAACACGGTATAGATTTCAATTGCCCATAGTATCTCATACATAGGAAAAATTGCAACATATGTTTTCATATGTTTAACATATGTTTTTCATATGTTTGAAAACATATGTAAACATATGTTTAGGCCCGACATGAAAACATATGTTTTCGAACATATGAAAAACATATGGAAAACATATGAAAAACATATGTTTTTAAAATCATATGAAAAACATATGTTTGGGACAAACATATGAAAAACATATGAAAATCATATGTTTTTCATATGTTTTGAAAACATATGAAAAACATATGTTGCAATTTTTCCTGTGTAAGGAGAAAACAAAACTGACAACGCAAACCCCACCAAAAACCGAGGGTGATCTCATGTTCCCGGGAAATGTAAACAGATCCTTCTCCACGTGTGGCAGTCGTCGTGTGGCTAAATTAAGTAAGTACAGATACGGGGATAAGTCTGATTCGGTATGTCACATTCGATGAAAAGAGGACGGATTGGAACATATCCGTCGTCATCTATAGAAAGTGACAATGTATTTTTAGCGGATTACCCATAAATTGGAAACATTATTTGAACATATTTTTCACAAAAATTTATGAAACGATCACAGACATGTGAATGTTGTTTTCTAGAAAGCGACAAAAAGTTTAGAACACAATCACAGTTAGCAGGAAAAATAATAATTTCTTTTCAATATTATGAAGGGGACCAAACATACCTTGAAATGATGCAAAGTATTTACATTCTTCTGGCAATTCCTGTCCTATGAATGAAAACAAAAAAGTATACGTAAGGATACATCAACGAACCAACACACACAAAAAGAGACCAAAGCTTACCATACTATCTAAAACGAAAGACTAGCGTCCAACACATATATGTCAAGCTCTAAACCAACCTGAACATTGAGTCTAGAAAGTCTGCAAAGAACATATTATGTCTTTTAAACAAAGTAAGTCCCCGAGTGTATCATCAGCTCACTAGTCAGAGCCTCGGTACTGGCATAATTTATAACATACATTTCTTAAATTGTATGTTAATAAATATAGAAATTATTAAGAAACTAAGATTACAACTCCCTCAGGCAAAGTTGACCTAATATGGATTTTGCTATTTATTTTTAGGTCCCGTTTGGTCATACAGCTCTTCAAGTGAGTTTGGTCCTTGGCTTTCGAATATTCGGCTTTGAGCGTTCCTGATAAAAGTTAATATAGAAAAGCGCATCGGACGCATACAATTTTATATATATAAAGTGTTATCTACTTTTATTAGAGGTAGGAACGACCCCTCTTATATGCCGTGCCACAGATACCTTACATTCAAGCGTTCTAGTCTGTAAGCATATACAAGGGGTACCAGGTATGTCCCATAGTCCGACTTGAATTTCGCCGACAGGTCTTATTAAGAGATTCTTCCACGTGGTCTGTCGTACAAGAGGTAGGTATAGGCATGATCTCTGCTACAAAACTTTTTTACATTTACCCTAGACCCATACGAATCTGTCACTATAGAGAAGGAGGATCCCGGTATGTCCGATATTTAATTAAATATTGCTGGCTCAGCGGCTGGCCTTTTTTTTTTTAGAGATCCTTCACGTTGGTCATGGTACCATAGGTATATAAATTCTTCTTTTCCCTCCCACCAGGAGCAAAGAGTCGAAGTCTACCATCACTGGTTACACGTTTGCCTTTTGCTTTTGTTTGTTTTTATATTTTGTTTAATTTTCCAATCAAATAAAATTTATCATTGTAATAGACCTTGGAATTGTATTTAGATACCTACGTAAGCAAATATATGTGAATCTGATTTTCAAATTATTTAAAATAACTTGAAATTGTCATATTAGATAAAACAAAACTGTCATATTAAATAAAACAAAATTGTCATTTATGTACAGCTGGAGCTGTCATTGTTGAATTTTAGCCTACCTAACTTTAGTTTTCTGTTTGGTTTTCTGTTTATTCGTATGTATTTATCTCTTTAAATTTGGTCTTAAGCCTTCAAGAGAATAAATTGTAGATTCTTTGTTTTAAATATATACATACCACCTGAACTCACAAGAAATGTAATGACATGTAACGGACCTGCAATACAAAATATCATCGTATTCAGTTTGTGTTCAAGAATCCACATGCAATTTACTTGATTTGTTAGTTTTGTTTCATGAACTAGATTCTTATCTTTCAGAACTGTTTTGAATTATATCCTTGAAGGATGGTTGAGATCAAAAGAGGGAAGATAAATTAGTTAGTCTCAGTTGGCCTTAAGTAATTCAAATGATAAAGTGCACATAATAATGCTTTTAAATCCATATATGATTTGGTTTTCTCATTTAATTATGATGGAACATGTATACATTAAAAAGTAGAAAGTGAATTTCATTAGATATTTTGTTTTCTTTTATTCCGATAGGTATCAACATATTTTTGCAGAGTCTTTTGTAGGTGAAACGCGCGTTTGGCTTACACAATTTTAATCTTGATATCTATGATGATTTTTTTTTTTTTTTTTTTTTTTTTGTACAGAGTGTTATTGGACGAGAAGGAAACTAACACTGTTTAAAGGTAATATTGTTTATACTTTCGCTCATAGGTATTGCTTATGAATAATCTTGTTTTAACCTAGATTTCAAAATTTTGGCTAAATCTTGAACATCCAGAAATAATTTTTACCTTGATCATTGTATTTCAGATGAACCGTTACGTAAAATGGACGAAAAAATCATTATGTTCCTTTCTACAAACAATATTTGAAAGAAGATCTAGGTCAAAGTTACCTTTATTTGGCCATTTTTTTTTATTCGAGCGTCACTGATGAGTCTTGTAGTCAAAACGCGCGTCTGGCGTACAAAATGTTCATCCTGATATCTTTGATGAGTTTATTTACCCCCACCTTGTTGACAAAAACCACGACTTCCTTTTTCCCATGTGATTTTTCATTTATAAGTAACGTCATTGAAGCAGCACAATAACTTTCCTACTTAACAATGAAGTTTTATCGCGTTTGTTCTCCCTATTCGGATTTCCTAGTTAAAAGGTTTAGTCAACAAAGAAGCTACTTAACCGGTGGGTTTCTTGAATATGTTTCGTTTGTCGCTCTCACAATCTTATCTTTATTTCCTCGTTCATAACCTATGGGATTCCCAAATGCTGGCGATGCATTCATAGTAGGAGACTGTCTATGCATCCGGTATCGCTCCTTTTTTGTGGGATCATGAGATTCCCTCAGTTTTTTATTATCACCTTGATTTCTATCTTCTTAATGTATCTTATGTTGTGCTGTTACCCCATTGCCCCAGGAAAGAGGAGTGTTGAGCGCTCGTAAACATCTTTGACCCCGCCGCATTCTTTATGTGCCCGTCCCAAATCAGGAGCCTGTAGTACAGTGGTTTTCCTTGGTTAATGTCTGTTATAAATGATTTTCGTGAATTGCTTGTTATAAATTATCCCTTTAGTTTTCCTGTTTTCATTGCTTCACGTTTTGCATGTTGGAACTTTTATAGCGGACTATATGGTATTGGTTTTTTCTCATGTTGAAGGTCCGTGCATGCGGTGGCCTATACTTGCTTACTACCACTTCATTTTAACTTTGGTGGATAGTTGTCTCATTGACAATCATACCACATCTCATTATTTTCATATTATGTTTATGTGATTTGAACATTGGTTAAATACTGTTGATTCTATTTTTTTACAGAATGTTTACCTGTTATTAGCAAAAAAATGAAAACAACACTTTATAATTCGTCCGAATGCAATGTTCCTTTTACATTTTTTCGCTCCATTTTGTCCTTTGACCTTTGTGTTATCGTGTTGTGTTTAAATTTTTATTATCAGTTACCCTTTTGTTAGCTTCTTACCTTTTAAATCAAAAAGATAAAATTTTACTGACCTTTTTGATAGTTACAAAGACATATAGATAAGAGACCATCAGCAATAACGAATGTACTAAAGTATATAAAAGATCAAAGGTCAAAGTTCAATATCCATAAACTAACGCGGAAAACTGTAACATATTGGTATATCAAGCAACTATAGAAAACTACTTTCATATTCCTTGTTCTGTATACGAACAATTTCTAATGGAAACGGAGTGTTAAACAAGGTTTACATTGAACATTTACAAAGCTTACTCACCCACATTAGTCTAGATAGTATTTAAGAATTACGTTGAGTATTTGTACAAATAGACAATAAAAAGGCAAAGTTTGATACGTAGGATTACATACAGATCCATAAATAATCAATCATAATCCTGACACGAATCGACTATAAAGGTCGTGATGATAAACATGTGTCAAATGGCTCTAAATTTGTAGACATGATCTTAACATCTGCCTTTTTTAAACATTAATTATGTAATGTAATATGTTGGAAACTAAATGTACTTACACATTAAAGACAGAAGAACACAAAAGAATTTCCAACTAGAATTGTTTCCCATATTTATGATGTACTTACATCGTATGAGGAATGGTCTATAGATACATTACTTATATAAGTGATTATATCGATAAGATAGGAACCGTTACATAAATTTTGTAATTACAATTATTTTATATTGTTGAATTTGCAACGATTGGATTAGACCAAATAGCTATCAATAAGTAATATAACAAGACGAACATGTATTCCTTAACATACATTTATGTAATCATTGTCTTATGTCATATCTTAATTTATGTAGTTTGTTATTTGGAGATTTTGGAGTTGATTGCAGATTGCTCTTTTTGTTTTCTTTTAAATACATGAGACGATTAAAACACTGTCATATTGTTTTGACATCTGTATATTGTTGAAGAGTGTATGTTGCCCTCTAGATGGCTTTTTTTTTGTCGCTGGATAACTTTATTATTGACCTACACACCATATTTCTATTTATGTGTATTCATGTGGTCAGATATTATCAGTCAAAGTTCAATAACGACATGACGATTTGTTGGAGCACAAATATCATATCTTTCTGATCGTGATAATGTCTGACATCAAACCCGAAAGAAAAGAAACATTTGCTCTCTTATCATGTACGGAGTCCGGTGTATGAGGAAACAAACCGTTTCTGTTCAGTATTATTTTTTTTATTTCAAAAATGTTCACTTAAATAAAGCTTAATATCTATAAGTTGCTCATTTCTTATCAGTTCTATAACTATTTCATCATACATTTGTTTTTTCAAATCTTTTTTTTTTGGGGGGATATTTCAAAATTCTGAAATTAGCTTATCTGATGACAGTTATATCAGGAGAAATTTTGTCTGTCATAAATTTGATATCTATGTGTTTTTGAGATAATATAATATATCAGTCATTTTATATATCGTCTTAAGCAGTAACTGATTACATCTTATTTTAAGGGTTGTGGCCAAGAAAACTATTTTTCTGCAGTTGTGATGTTATGTTAATAGCAAATACATTTTATACACATTTAAGTGACAATGTAAAATATTATTTCAGAAGACAGAGTTGGGTCCGATGGATTTTTGCATGATTAGGTTCACATCTGTAAGTACCGCAACCGATCCAGAGATTTCCAAGTGTGTCAATACAGAGTGATTGTGGAAGGTAAATATCAATTCCTGATGTCACCATACGCACAAGAAGACGCCCTAATGATGAAAAAACGTAAAGGAAATGATTTAGTCTCTCCGTTACTATTATATTCCCATCTTCTACTGCGATTATGTCACGAGGCTTGAATGCATCAATTATATATCTGTCTTTCGATTGTCCACGATAAACCCACTTTGGCTGACCGTTGTGGTCAAGCATAACTAACCTACCATCAAATTCATCAGAAAGCCGATCGATTACGCATATGTCTCCTGAACTAGTGGACGTAATATTCCACACATAGGTGAACAACCTTTTGTCATTTTGATCATATTCAAATGTACTCTTATTCTTACCACTAGGAGTCAGAGTTACGAGTTGTCGCCTACTATTTCCAGAAAGAACAAAATTTGGTCCGTTTTCTTTAACACCAACAATGACGTCACCAACTCCAGAAACATGGACAGCCGTTGGTTTCATGGATGAAAAATCTCGAAGTATCTTTTGTTTCCCGTTTTGGGATAACATTTTCAATTTGTTCGATTTTGAAAGCTTTAGTACCAATTCTCCGGATTGTGTAATAGAAAAATCACTAATTTCTATGTCATTTGTACAAGATGCAATTTCCAAATTAAGACCAGGCTTAATTTTCTGAAGAATTTTCTTTTCCTTGTTCGCAACCCATAAGAAATCACCATGCCATGCTATTACTCCGACATCTGGCAAGTCTGTTGTATAAGTTTTGAATGGACGGATTTCTACTAAAGACCCAAACATCTGTTGTACATTCTCATCCAAAGGTTGTCCTCCGAGAAAGCCCAACATGGCGTTTGATACATCTAGTTTTGTGATTTCAGGAGTTTTAAATAAACCTTTCGAATGTTCAAATACTTCTGCCAAATTTGTTGAATTTAGAATTGTTTCAATCTTATTTCTTTTGTCTAGTAAATCCTGTTCATGTTGATCTAAGACTTTTTTCTTTGATTCGAACATGCCGTTCAATCCATTGTTGAAGCTGTCGTGTTGTTCTAGTATTTTCAAACTGTAAGATAGTATTTTGCTAGTTAAAGTTTCTGTTTGTACTTGTATGTTTTCTTTTGTCTTTTGTTGTTGGTGCTGATGCTTAGACCACAGTTCATCGAAAGTTTGTTGTTCCTTCTGTACAATTCCAAGACATTCTTTATCAATTTTATCTACTATTTTTTCCAATGCAGTCCTTTTCCTTTGGAAAGCCTCGTGAATTTGTTCCAACGCGTGATCTTTGTGGTTTTTAAGAAGACACACTGGACATATAAGATTGTCACATGTTTTACAAAACAGACAACAGGATTTAGACGAATGTAGATGACATGATAATGTCAGATATTTTTCCAAATTCTCATTTGATGAAACTTTTATTTGACTTACATTCCGTATATCGACGATATTGTGTTCTTTTTCAAACGAAACTTTTGAATGCAGCTTGATTTTACACTTATCACAAAGTAACAAAGAGCAATCAAAACATTTCCATTTAATTTCATTAATGTTATCACAGAACTGACAACACAATGGAACCTGTGCACTACACGCCATTGGTATTTCAGCAATTTAATGATCTTTTGAAAGCGGAAAGTATATAGTTTGTACTATGACAGGAAAATCAAATTGACATGCTTAATAATGAATTTCCTGTGTAACAGACAATTCACATAACAAGGAAGTTCGTCAACTTAAAAAAAATGTTTTGTCGTCAAATATATAATTGATTTGGGGGATTTTAACACGTCCTCTTAAAATGTTACTTAGGGTGTCAAAATGTAATTTGACATTACAGTTGTTTTGAATCGTCTCTGTTAAATACCATCTTATGCTCTTCAAATTCGTATTTGATTTGGCCTTCTAACTTTTTCTATTCGAGCTTGACTGATGAGTGTTATTAGATGAAACGCGCTACTGGCTTACAAAATTAAAAGCCTGGTATCTTTAATGAGTTTTTTTATACAGCTATATATGAATACAAAACATTTTGGGATCCGAGATGAAACTAGATGTGTCGAAACGACACGAATGGCCCCGTCTCAAAAAATTGAAAAATCTGCAATTTCAACAACACATGTGGACACACACATGCATGGATAGTATCAAGCTCTCAAGACCAATACTAGTTTGATGAAAAATTTCCTTGATCAATGAGTGAATTATTTTCAAACTATCAGCAAACAGGAAGTGGATGTACTGCAGATCTAACAAGATGTGTTGAAACGACATGAAAATCAGCATAGCGTAACGAAACATAAACTTGATCTGTAACTCATCATGGTAGTCTCACCAAATCTGAAGGCGTATAGAAAAAAAATCTGTATAACTGTGTTTTTCAACAATTTTCAAAGTCTTAAACCCTTAATTTCGGCAAAAATCAGCAGAGCGGAACTAAACTTATACTTGATCTGTACTCATCATGGTTAACTCATATACCAAAAATCAGCCCAATATCTAAAGGCGTTTAGAAACAAAGTCCGTATAACTGTGATTTTCAACAATTTATCAAAGTTCAAAGCCCGTAATTTCGGCAAAAATTAGCGGAGCAAAACGAAACTTAAACTTGATCTGTAACTCATCATGGTTAAGTCACATACCAAAAATCAGCCCAATATCTGAATGCATTTAGAAAAAAAGTCCGTATAACTTTGATTTTCAATAATTTATCAAAGTCCAAAGCCCGTAATTTTAGCAAAAATTAGCGGAGCGGAACGAAACTTATACTATATCTGTAACTCATCATGGTTAACTCACATATCAAAAATCAGCCCAATATCTGAAGGCATTTAGAAAAAAAGTCCGTATAACTTTGATTTTCAATAATTTATCAAAGTCCAAAGCCCGTAATTTTAGCAAAAATTAGCGGAGCGGAAGGGAACTTAAACTTGATCTGTAACTCATCATGGTTAACTCACATACCAAAAATATGCCAATATCTGAAGGCGTTTAGAAAACAATTCCGTATAATGGTTTGTTGCGGAATGACGGAATGACGGAATGACGGACAAGGGTAAAACTTTGTTGCGGGGCCATAAAAAGGTTAAATGTGGAACAGCTGAAAGTGAAGCAACACCGTGCTAAAAGGTCAAAGGCTGATACGAGGGAGAATGTCCCCTTATATTTCCGGATAATGTTCTCAATGTAAATCGATGTCACGTTTGAAACAAGGAAATAGTTCAGCCCATTCAAACAGAATTAGTGTTATATTTAAAAAAAAAAAACTACAAAATAAATTTGAATCTATAAGACATACTGCTGTGATAACAGATAGGCGGAAGATACTTATAGGATGTTCAAACTCGTAAGTCGTATACGCAAACAATTGATTAACATACATTTACATGTTATATGTGTATTTTCTTTTTAATTCATATATTGTCAACATAATGTCCAATATACACGTTCCTATTAATTAAGAAATATTAACATCTTTCTTTTTTGACATTTTGATACAACGATTGTCATTAATATGCAATTTGTAATCAATCTGGCAAGTGACTGATGGAGATGAATTTTGTGTTTTCTACTACAAAATAGATAATTACATTTCTAACTAGCCCTGTAACAAAAAGCACCTTAATCCAAGTTCTAATATGAACATTTCCTTCAGAAAGAACAGTCTTTGGATATACTGAGCTCTTCCTTAGACATGACATGATGAAGTTTATGCATCGATATACAAAATGGAAGTTTCTGATGAATAATATTTTAATAGAGGTAGAATAAATTTAAGAGTTAACTCAATAATACTGTTAAGGTCGATCAGGTGTCTTCTTGAATGATAAAATAGAAGAAAACAATCAGTCTAGATCTTTAATGAAATGTGCAAATTTTGAGAGAGAATTATAATACATTTGTAATAATGTTCATCTATCTGACGAAAATTGTGTTTTCTATCTTATTTTGATAACTTTTAAGATTTTTCAAATACAGAATTTTTTTTTTATTTACTTAGAAATTAACTTTATTTAAAAAAAAATTCGGACATAACCATATACGGGGAGATAAATGTAACTTTTATAAAAGAATGTGTAAGGAATTTATCTATTTTGTTTTATAGCAAGAAAATGAGGCCCGTGACCCCATTTTTTATTTTTATTTTCAGAAAGCACATTATACCAGCTATCTTCTCTAAAAAAAAATTCGTTTTGTTTTCTTTCTATCACACAAAAAAGCCCCGTGAACCATACTTTTAATATTAAAAAAACATGATATAAACTCCATATTGGCAAATAATTAAAAAATTCTATCGATTTTAATTTAGAACCCCATCTACCTTAAACAACTGACCAACTTAAAAGTATACTAAGAATAAAGGCATTTGAACTTGATAGACAATATCCAGATTTCCTCCTTGGGGACTTTGAATTATACTAGAATAATGTTAAATGAAGGCCCATTTCTTTTTTTCACTTCTGTATAATATAAAAATAGAAGATGTGGTATGATTTCTAATGAGACAACTCTCCTCCAGAGTTCATTACTTAATCTTTAAAAAAAGTTATGCAGTAACATTAATACATATTGATGTAGAAAATCTGAATATGAGACAGTAGGGGCATAAATTTGCTTGAAAATGGTCCTATTATCCCTAGACTTTTAATGACTTATCACTTATTTTTTACTTTGGTTCATTACCCTTTATCCAAACAATCATGTATTAACAATTAAAACATATCATTGAGGAGTTTCCAATGTTTGGCGACTGCTAATTCTATGGTACTGCTGACAAACAGTTTTTAAAAAATGCCATTTTGCAGGTCAATTATGTTAAACGCATTCTCTGTCACTAGATAAAAACAAATATTGCAGAAATTATCCTTAACATTAACTTCTAACGAATGACAGTCATATTATATAAAGATGCTTACTATTAGTTTATATAAAATGTAAATCCACTTTAAGTTAAAAGATAATTGTATTTAAGTTAGGTAAATAAGTATCAATGCATTCTAAAAGGGAATAAAATAAATTGCCATGTTGGGATAATTGAGTTGTCTTTCCTATAAAGTTGTTAATTATTAAGTCGCTGGTCCGGAAACGTCTTATAGAGTAATGCCAACACATATGAAGGAACCTTTTTCATGTGAATTTTAATAAGACATTTTTATTAGTTGAGTTACATCATTAATGAAGTTTCATTTTGGAACAGTATATAAATAAAATACTGATAGCAGATGGTGTGTTATGCAAATGCACAAAACATATGTGTGTATTTAGACTTATGAATATTAGCATTAACAATTTCCCTGGTGCTACTTGTTTACAACATAACAATTTTTGAAAAGTATAAATATGTCCAAATGTATAATAAATAAAAATGAAAATGCATAATTGAACAAACTATCATTTCATTAGGACAAAAAGAACATTGAGAGTGACTGTTCGTTTATTGCCAACTATTTATATAATCAATAAATACTGAAGTCCAATAGAATGCAGTGTATGGTCTGATTACAATAGAAAAATACATAAAAATACATGGTATAATATATTTTATTGACAAAAGCATTGATATTTTAATAAATATAAGTACCTTATTTACATTGAAAATATATACCTCATAACTTCGAGTTGAATTTCCTTTCAGAACGAATACGTATTGTGATAACACAAACAATAAAAAGTAAGACACATTTCAACGATTGGTAGTTTGGATTTCTGGATACATATTGTACAAGCATAGGTTGTCATCTCATAGAGAGAATAATATTTAATTCATGGAACCAACATTTGTTTAAAATACAAGGTCAAGAAAGGACATGTTGCGACGAGGGCCTTATTTGGGCTTATTTTTACTGATCATTGTAACTTTTTATGAAATATTTAAGTTCATCCTAAAGTTCAGATAATTCAAAAGTAAAACAGGATTTTGAGCGTTGTTGTGAAAATCATCAATTTTTTTGTCAATTTCAAATAGTTTTTTGGACCGGCAAAATTAAACCTTCACAAGCTCTTACTAAATAATTTACCATAGTATTTGTGTATATGAACAACAAGCCATAAAAATTTTCCTGGAGCTTGCATATGCTTCATATTCCACTAGCAAATATGTGTCAAAAAATGTTTTTGTCATGTCGTTGAGAATATTTAAGCATACCATCTTTCTATCTTAAAATCTTGATGTATATTCATACAATTTGAAAGGTATTACAGTTAAAAACTTGCGCATACCTATCAATTATTATAATGCAAACCGTACAGGATTTTGTAATACTTCAATTTCAGACCAATAAAGGCCATTGATGCACTTAGAAGTACAAAGTTTGTCCTTAAAATTGTTAAGAAATTAAATTAATGAAACCCCAAGAAATAAATATTAGAAAATAGAAAACTATACATATAAATGATAATGATAAAGTTTGTTCATTTATGACATAAATGATTGATTAAAATTACATAAATCACAAAGTCTACAATATTTACATTGAGACCTACTTAACAGATATAAATTGTTTCAATTTAACATGAAATAATGTCTTGTAAATTACAGCGATGTGGCAAACAAATTCCAGTAATAATTTAGCACATGACCGTTTCCGTAAAGAAACAAATTGTGTGCAACTCTAAATATTTAAATAGTTGAAATGTAATATAAGTAAACGACTGTCATGATAAAGTAGAATTGTTAAAACAATTCAATTGTTTCGTTAAACTGATTCACCTATTGTAATATATTTGTTGGGTGTATTACTTTGGTGAGCTTGACATTTCTATTTGCTTTTAACTTTCACAAATACTGAACGGTTATTTAAATGATATATATTCGTCAGTATGATTTAGTACAATCACTTTTCTGAAATAAATCTAACATGAGATTATACTAACTTCACATAATTTCATAGCTTATGACAGTGTGTTGAAGTAAAATGCGCTTGTCTCTTATTTTCATAACCTTGCAACAACTTTTTTGGAATGTCCACTTGTTTCTTATTATCCTCTATAACGATGTGCCATTCGTTTCTAAAATAGAAAAAACATGTATATATCTCACAAAAAAGTGAAGCTTGCTGAACACTATATTTCATGTAAATTACCATAAAAGAACTAATGATCAAAAGCAAAATGGACACTTCTAATTGATTTACATTTCTAATATTTGTTTGGCAAACACTAGTTATATTAAATCTATTAATCAACAATTAAATTCTCAAGTTCCACGTTGAAGATATCAACAAGCTAAAGTTTTACCGATTTACATTTACTTAATTTTTCTTTATGAGTTATATCAATGTATAATCACCTATTTTTTGTTTATGTTGTAATAAGGCTTCTTCACAATCTACAGGACAACCATTCATGTTAGAAAACGTGGATTCATTATATGACAGTGACTGTATGTATCGTTCTATGTCCTCTTCCTTACTTGGGCCCCAATTTTTGGCAGGTACAGTTAATTTTTTGACTCTCTGAAAAAGATAAATTGAATAAGAACTTCTCTTAAATTTATTATGAATATCAGCGAGTTTAAAATGCAAGATTCTGAAATAGTAATATTTCGGGTTTTTTGTTCGTTTGTTTTAAAAAAAAATACAGATGTAAGTTATAAATAACATAATGCGCACTTAGATTACTGGAAAAGCTATTAGTTAACCTATTAACAACCAGTATGTTTTAACTGAAGCGGAAACTGTCTAACTGACATTTACATAAGTTGTACGGTTTCAACTTTTGCAATACCTTAAAATCGCAAAATAGAAATAACAAATCCATAATTAAATAGCAATGTCTTAAAAATGATATAACAACATCATTTTTTTACTATTGTACCTATGTTTTAAGCTGTTAAAAAGCTTACCTCAATAATTGTTTCCCCATCAGTGTTAATGATTTGAATAATCATCATAAGAGGAATTGGGACAAGTGCCAAAAGTCCTAATATCCATCCCAACACTATGGCCCAAGTCGGATAATTTTTTCCATCATAAGTCACTGGACCCAATGTTATTATACTAAAAAGCCATATTCCCTATATGATAATAAAATAAAATGAATATCAAATATAGCCCTGTGCTAATTTTGCAGTTTTGTTATACAAATATATGATAATATGTTATAACTGGTGGATATAAAAAAAATTATGACAAAAGGCTTTGTATATATATATATATATACAATGCCTTGTTAATAAATGTTATATGAGTATTTTAAACCAAATCTTGAATTCTATCCTAATTCTATCCTATTTTGGGGAAATGTCAGAAATTCAAATGTGACGTCACTTTTTTCTTGCGTTGATCTCTTTGGCTAACTCGGCTGTGAATTTTTATGTGCTGGTTTATGTTGTTTTATGTATCCGTTTTTATTCTATAGTTAGTCACCACTTCGGTGTTATCATGTATATCTGTTATATAGTCATTTGTATAAATTTACTGTTTGCAAAAGTATGAATTATTCTCAATAATAAGGATTTTCTTATCCTCGACATATAACCTTAGCCGTATTTGGCACAACTTTTTGGAACTTTTGGTCCTCAATGCTCTTCAGCTTTGTACTTGTTTTGGCTTTCGAACTTTTTTGTTCTGAGCGTCACTGGTTAGTCTTGTGTGGACGAAACGCGCGTCTTAAATTTTAAACCTGGTACCTTTTGTTAGCTATTATTCGTATGTTTCTCTGTCCTATATGTTCTCCCATTTATTTGTATTGTAGTCCTGTCATGTAATGTTGTCATTTTAATGTTATATTTTACATTGCCATAAAAGCGGGAGGTTTGACTAGCCACAAAACCAGGTTCAACCCACCATTTTTTTCTTAAAATGTCCTGTACCAAATCAGGAAAATGACCATTGTTATATTATAGTTCGTTTCTGTGTGTGTTACATTTTAATGTTGTGTTTCTGTTGTGTCGTTGTTCTCCTCTTATATTTGATGTGTTTCCCTTAGTTTTAGTTTGTAACCCGGATTTGGTTTTTTCTGAATAGATTTATGAATTTCGAACAGCGGTATACTACTGTTGCCTTTATTCGTCAACTTTATAAGGCTATTGAACCTTTTGACTCGAGCGTCACTGATGAGCCTTTTGTAGACGAAACTTGCGTCTGGCGTCCAAATTATAGGCCTGGTATCTTTGATGGTTTTCTTCTAAATGGTGTTTAGATGATGCCAATCTATTAAAAAGTGTTGTTTATATATGACAAACCTGTTTTGATATATGACAATGAAATTACAAGAATGTTCAAAACAAGCATATTTATATAAATGATTTAAAAAAGATATAACTAAATTTAGATGTTTAAAGTAGTGAAAATAAAAAGTCCTTTTACCAGAAGTTCTAGGAGAAATTGTTAGATTTCCCTTATGTAGAACATGGTTTAGTGTATGAGTTTTATGTTTCTAACAAAAGTATATTTACTAATAACATAAACTGCTGTTGTTCACCTTCACTTTTAAAAAAGATGAATATTCAAAATTCAGATGTAAAGCTTAACTTTTTCGTCAAGTAAGTTTAGTAAAAACTATGTAAAAGTTAAAAGTTTTATAACATTTAAGAACATAAAAATTTGGTATTTTAGAAACTTATTTCAAAATAAAACCTTTTTTCAAAAGGAAGATCTTTCCTAAAAAAAGTATAACAAAAATACCGAACTCAAAAATAAATTCAAAATGGGGAAGTCCTTTAACTAATACCAGGGGAGATTATTTGTTGTCCAGCATACTATGATGATAGAGAGATGTTTATTAAAGAGATAAACAATATTTACAAATATCTCAATGAGTAAAATTTTTTATTGTTTATTCACTAAAGGACATAGATAAACACAGATAAATGAACAAACAAGTTCAACACCACCACATTAATTTGTGCCTGTCAGGAGGCTGTAATTCAACAGTTGTCGTTTGTTGCTGTATATCATATGCAGTTTTCGTTTGTTCATTGTTTTGTACAAACCGTTAGTTTTCTTGTTTGAATTGTTTTACATTTGTCATTTTGGGACTTTTTTAGCCAACTATGCGGTATGAGTTGTATAGTTGTATAATTTCTATGTCATATGGTCTCTGGTGGAGAGAGTTGTCTCATTGGCAATCATACCACATCTTCTTATTTTTATAGTATATATATATATATTACAATTACTGAAGATATTTTCAATATTTAATCATAATATAATTAAAACTTTTCTCTTTAAGTCCATGTGTTAAATGTGTTTCAAAATGTTTTTTTTTCCAGTGGAGTAGTAATAACACAAACTGCTGAAAACAGGAAGAAGTACATGTATACGGTATACGAAAGTGGCTTGAAGTTTCGACTCATATGGAAGTTATATAAGTTAACAGTGTATTGCCATTTATTCTTAACTAGCCTAGCGTTTGTTTAAACATATTAGTTAAATTATTGAGTCAGTACACCTGATACCAGGTTTTTTTTTGTAGCCAATGTTTATGGTCATATTTAATTTTGAAGTGACCCTAGAAGGCAATCCATTGGCAATTTTACCTATCACAGTTTACAAATTTAACTAAAAGCATGACATTCATTGACCATCTTGATTACATTTACCTCTAGGTGTTTCGAATTAACATTTCCTTGGCGTTGTAGAATATATGAATAGTTATGCATATTTGAAATGTGTTTTTATCTTTTTTCAAATAAAGTGTGGTAGTAAATAATAATTTTAAGAATTGACCTTGGTGTCAATGTCTAAATAGTTTTAATCGAGTAACAAATAATGAAAGAAACACTCAACTTACAAAAATAACAGTCGGTGTTACAAATCTCCACATATAATGCCAGATTGCATGCGGCTGATATCCAATCATCAATTCAATGTCTTTGAAAAACCTTTCTGTTCCTAAATTGATATGAAGAAAAATTTCAATTAAAATCATTCATTTCTACTTTTTTTAATTGGTATTTACAGCAGATGTCCTTCATTAATAATTTTGCTATTACAATCTTGATCTTCACATTTATTCATTTCTGAAAATACAAGCTTCGCGATTTTGATTATTAACATTAAAGTAATAAATAAAAAAATTAGTAAAATACTCCTGCAGTAATGAAGATGGTATATGAAAAATGCTGTGTGCTTACCATAAATCCATGCAATAACAACACATTCTATAAGTGAAATCATCATCAAAGAGAAACTTGCACAATACCAGTCCATAATCTGTAGAACGTATATTCCTCCCTGGAATTAGTGAACATATGATAATTTGGAAGTTCTAAGATTTAAAAAAGATTGTGTAATCTTAAAGTAATCTATTCTAGTCAACACGATATATGACAATAGTTAAAACAAACAATTGACGTTTCCATTGGAACCCACTATGCTCCTCTCCTTGCAGACTTGTTCCTTTATTCATTTGAGGCTGACTTCATACAGGAGCTTCTTAGGAAGAATGAAAAAAAGAAGCTAACATTATCTTTATTAACGTCACTTTCCGCTATAAGGATGATGTCCTCTCACTAAATAATTCAAAGTTTGGTGACTATATTGAAGGCATCTTTCCCATCGAAATAGAAATAAAGGATACAACACATACATTTAAGTATGCCTCATACCCTGGCTAAAATCTAGAAATTGACATTGAGGGTCGGTTGAAAACAAAACTTTACGACAAAAGAGATGAGTTCAACTTTCCAATAATGAACTTTCTGTTTCTGTGTAGCAACATTCCAACAGTGCCTGCATATGGAGTATATATCTCCCAGTTGATACGACATTCCAGAGCTTACATTTCATATCATAATTTCCGTAATTGGGGTTGCTGCTTACAAGGAAGCTTTCAAACCACGATTTTTAAGTGGTGAAGTTGAAATCATCCTTTCGAAAATTTTATTTAATGACATGAGACCTTTTCTTTTGAAAACAAAATTAAAACGTAAAGGTAAATCATATATCAATATATATTTGATTCATATCTGAATTAGTTAATACAATCTGGAAATATTCCGTTTTAGTTCACATAGGATAGATATTGAAATTGTAGATTA